AATGACTATGACCCGTACAATCTCGATTTGCATATTGTCAATCAAAGGTCCTGTTATTTGGTTACTCATGCAAATTAGGCAATTGGACATAAACATTGCCACGTGTGAGTGTTTTTTATTTTAAACCAGAAAATAAACAGCAATTTTAACGGTGTTCCAATAAGAATTCATTGGTCAAATTTTCACAGAATGTTCTTTAGATAAAAATCTATATAAAAAACGAAAAAAACTATTTTTGATTGAAATTCACAAATAAACTGCATCTCTACCTTAAACTAAATTTGTTTCCACATAAAAATGTAGTTAGAACAAATTCTGTCTGAACATTTTTGGGTTATTAAATATTGTCGCTATATGCACACGTCATAAATGTACATACATGTATTTTTAAGTACAACTTTATTGTATTGAGTATTTTACCTTTACAAGGAGGGCAGGTATAATTTTTTTTTGCTTGTTCCATTTCTTTTCCTTGTCTCTTTGTTACACCAACACACTCGCCATGGTACCACTCAGAACACTGATCACAACAAATCATAAATCTACACAAAAATATGTAAGAATTTCAAATTATGAAAATAAAAAATGCTGAAAAGTCACACTAAATGTGTACAGCACTTTCTATAAATATGTAACAAGCTATATTCCATGTGCATGGTAATATGTGCAGTTCAATGCTTGTTGTGCCATACATGTGAAAATCTTCTTGTATACAAACAGTTAAAACAGAATCATTAATGTTCTTACTACTAACACATGTACACATTGCAGTGACGGCAGCACAGGTGGGAGAAGAGGGGTAGTCATCCCCTCGAAAACAATTTTGGCGGGCATCGCCCCTCCAAAATAAAACTGAAACTTTTTGTGTAAGCAAAATTTGCCCCTCAAAATGCAGGAAATAGCTTTTCAGAGGGTCTAGATTTCAGATCTTGCCTCTCATGCAATATTTCGTCCTGCTGCCTCTGCATTGTATGTCACTGTGGGAAATGTTAAAAAAAAATGTGTGCAAGTTGAAGTGTGAAATGACAAAGTAAGAAAATCCAGAGAGCTTTAATATACAATGCACACTTATTCAGAACACTTGCACTCACAAATATTCATTTATTTCAATGAAATAGAAGTGCGATAGAAAATTGAAGTAAATTCATACAGCATTAATTGCCTTTAATTTCAGGTGACAAACATTCGCAAGTCAGGACTGTTCATGATGAAAAATTTTTAGAAACTTTTTATCATCATGAATTTCATTAAAATTAAGTCGGTGAATCGCAAAAATTTATAATGGTGAAAATTCAGCTGTATACTGTTGTAACAAAGTTGCACTACAACACAGAAATATAGACTATAATTTCCAGCATGATGGGCAGTAACAAGGAATTACCATATTTTCCATAAGAAGCAGAACGGTTGATTAAAATGTCCATAACAACAGTTACAGATACACTGTAGAAATGCATTTCTGACAGAGGCAATTGCTGGACTAAAAAGTTGTTTCAGAGATTGTCTTGATCCATTTTATGCTCACTAAGTAATTTATTACACTTCAAATAAAACAAACACGGAACCGGTAATTCCTATTTGGCTTACAGGGACCTCTAGTGCAATCCTACTATCAATCCTAACTTAAGGTATGTGCCTGACAATGAAGAAATAGTCCTCCCAACAGATGTACAATCTAGCCTATCCAATTATCTATTCAAACATTAGCATATCAAAGTGATTTGTTTGATTACACAGAAGACATCAGTTAAGATTGTACAGTCTTCTGTGTCAAAAATATATATGACAGCTCATTGAAAAAAAAAACAAGCAGCCTATCGGCTGAGATAGCTCCGCTGTTAGCAATGCACATTTCAATTAAAGAACTGAAGACATCATTAGAAAATGAACAATATGTATAGTATCAAAGCAATTGAACTTTT